GATTTTCATTTAAATAAAAATTAAATAAAAAAGAAAAATTAAGTATTCACCTGAACAAACAGTACATATTCAGTTTTCTCCACCCTTTGCTTCACATTCTGTCTGAAGAACTGCAATGTTGTTCTAAACTCTGTAGACTTATTTAGGCCTTGAATCTTCAAAAGGAACTACTGTTTCTTTTCCATTCACAGGGAAAGGCTACAAAGAGAAATGAGATCATATGAGAAAGATGGTAGTTAGTGTGCTTGTGCTTTGTATGAGTGATGTTTTTCCTAAGAGAATGAATGGCTTTGTTAAGTGGAACATGCATTTGTATTTTCAATATAGATAGATATACATATACATATGCACACACACACACATACACACACACACACACACACACACACACATCATTAAAGGCAATCTACAGCTAACATGGAAAGTGAGTTAACCAGAGATTCATCTTTTTCCATGTACCGCCTCATCTTTGGAACATAAATAACTCTTTATATACTTCGTAATCAGTGGGTCTGAGCCATTTTCAACAAAGCAGGAGCTGCCAACAAGCTTCAAAGAAAAGTAAAAATGTATAGCAAAGGTATGAATAAGGAATGTGTACATTAACTGCTTTACACACAATTGCACCTTTATTTTAAAACTACTTTTACTGAACAGAATGAAATGGAACGTAGAAGTGAGTGGAACATCTTCATGCATATTCATCAGGTAAAACACTTGGAACATTTTCCTTCAAAACAGAAGTCTTTTCTCCACCTTTCCATTTTCCTTGTAAATTTGCCTGACTTACAGACCAAGGCTTCCATCCGGAAAGAAGTCCACCCAAATTATAGTAGTAAACCACACATAGTTGGATATTCGTAGGAGAGTGGTTGAGCCTCTGCTTACCTCTTGTTTGGACTTGGTGCGTTATCACTTGCTCTTTGGGCCTTGAGCCTGAATGCTTAGATTTTTGTGTACAGTCATCTATGCGGCCACCTTAATGACTTGATTGCTTTACTGTTAATCGTTTTAACATGACAGTCTGTCATTTATAATTCTCTTCCCCAGATGCTGTGGAGGGGATATTTGAGTTTATAAAGTGAGATACTGGTGTTATTATTACAATTTATACGTAGAACACTCTAGTATTCCATTTTGCATTCATTTTGTCATTCTCTTTCCTTTTTTGACACCTCCATTCCCTTCTGAGACCATCCTTTATTTCACTGTGAATCACCTTTTCTTGCCAACTACTCCCATTGGCTAAACCACTAGAGACACAAAAGCTTTGAATATACATTATGTTTTCAATTTGAGATTACGTGCAAAAACATACTAATTGCATGCTTGTATATGTAAGCTACATATAAGTATCCTTAGAAATAATGTTCCACAAATAGAGGAATTATAATTGGAGGTAAACAGGCATCTATTCATTAATTCTCACTTTATATCTCTATTTGAGGCAGCAGCTTCCTCAAACTCATAGCCAGATCTTACCTTTTCTTTGTGGTACATACTGACTTCATTTGCTGAAGTAAAGTAGATACAGTAGAAATAACTTGAAGAATTTAATAACTATATACAGAAGGAGAAGAATTCACAATATAAATTTATGCTCAATTAAGTCCATGTTTACTGAGGTGAAAATCAGGAAAAAATCTTCAACTTGTAAAAATATTATAAGTATACTGATACTCCCTTCAATTAGTTCCAAGGGCTACCATTGTATTCTACTTGTCAGTGGAATATCACTCTACCCACTGTGCGAAGACTGGATGGCAGCTGAACATCACTTCCCTGAATTAATACAATGTTTTCTATTCGTAAGCTTGATCTCAGTAGATCAGATAAAGGAAACCATGAAGAACTCAAAAGGCAGCTGCTCCAAACTGGAGAAAATATCAAGGTAAATGACTTCATACCATCATGAAAACAAGCCACATTGAGATTGAAATATTTTATCAACTTGAACATTTAAACAGTTGTTTCCAAGATTTACAAAGGCTCCAAAACAATATTCCTCATTGTGTATAAAATAATCAAAAGTGTAAAGTATCTGTCAAGACCAATTAAACAAGAATTACTCCTAAAATCAATATCATTTCTTACGTGTTATTTTATTTGTGATAATTTGTCTTAAAATTATTTTAGATAATATACAAATAATGAGTTTTCTAAAGTCTGTTGAACCCCACAGGTATTAACATGAACAGTGGTATTTGTGCATAGAAGAATCTACTGTCTTCAGGTGTGTACCTCCCTTCCAGCATTTTCCATGTCTGGTCTCTCTCATTAGTCAGATAACAGATTTCAGCTATATTAATGACATAATTTTTTGCATTAAATTTCAGTTTAAAAGTATTACTTTTCTACATATGACATACATTAAACTAAATTTCCAGACTACAATTTTTGAAATTTGGACAGCTGAGAAACGACTGTACTCCAGTGTATGAGTGCCATCCAGAACATAATGCAATTTCCTATCAGAAGCCAAACATCTTTTCTTCTATGTAATGTGAATATTCTTTCCTAAAAGGGTACAGTAAAGAAAATCAGAACATTTGGAGAGACTCTAAAGGCTTGCTTTTTATCTGATGTTGATAAAGAATGAAAATCCCCAAGCATAATAATGGCTGAATCATTTGAAACACCCACAGAAATTCTATTCCCACGAATACTCAATACTTCAAACATGAAAAGTTGTCCCACAAATGCAATTAATGGTTATCTGTTTGATGTGTGTATCACTGTTCCAGCTACCCTTAGGGGAGTGAAACCTTAACATTAGCACTAAATGTTAAAAATGGTGCAGGAAGGTACCACAAATTGTCTCTATTTTACTAGATGGTGAAGTATTGGACAGGACTCTAAAATGAAATAACCTTCCTGTAAATTCAACAACATATAACCTAAAGTTGAAAAATGGTTTTAAGAGAAAAATAGAGATATCTGAGGTTCATTGGTTTGGAAGGTGCAGTCTGTGATCAATTGGCTCTATTGTTTTGGGACTCATGGCAGAGATGTACATCATGGTGGAAGCATACTGGGAAGCAAAATTTCTCATCTCATGGTCAGGAAGGAATTTTCAAAACACCGAGAGAAGCCCAGGGTCCCATAAACCCCTTCAAAGATATCCTTCAGTCATCTAAAAGACGCAATGTGGGTCCCATCTCCTAAAAGCGCTACTATCCCAAAAAAATAATAGTTTATATGATGACTTTATTATTCCAGTTGAAGTTTTATTACTCATTTGTGGTGCTATGTTCAACCAATAACTAGTGATAAAAATAGGATAAATGAGCAAAATAGTGAAAGCATTTATGTTATTGATGCAATAAGAATTTAAAATAGATATTTTTATATTATGGTATTTTGGCTGTATGTAAATAAAATACATTTTACTGATTTAGTTAAAGTAGCTCTTGAAGACCATGTGAAATTTCTTTGTAGTGATTTTATTAGGAAACAACACCTATATACATAATTTCATATATGTGTATTTGTTTATCAAGTTTGTTAGTCGCTAGGTCTGTAACTTCATTTTTCTCATTTAAAGAAGTGATTTTTGAGATTCAGAAGGTAACTCTAAAGAAAATAGAATAGCAGTACTGTTTCTAAAGCTAAGGTCATGCTCCCAAGGAAAGAACGCATATGGGAGAGGATAATTATCTCAAGAAGTGAGATCTAAACCTCACTGGTGAGTGTATCAGAGTGGTCCAATGAATGGAGGAGTTGATTGTGTTGCCATGGTAGAAAGCATCATTTGAACACTGCCTACTAAGAGGTCAAGGGAGAATCATTCACAAAGTTGTTTCCAGATCATTCACCTGGGTTTTGTTAGTCTGGATGATATGCTAAAGAAGCTTTTTGGGGGTGTTATTGGATGCTGAGCTCAAGGGAATTTTAGCAGTAGGCAATGACAGAACAGTTGGGCCCAAAGTCAAAATACCTTTTATTTTCCATGTTCTCTCATGCACTCTGGAAAAAGAATTTTATATTTCCAGGAGGCATAAGCAACATTGATGCAGACATAACCAAAACATTATGAACTTCTTTATATTGGACAGAAAACAATTTGAAAAATACTAAACTAAGCTAATACAGAATTATAATTGATGGACTTTTTTATAAGATGCTAATATTGCCACAAAGCTAATAGATAATGCACATTCCAAATAAAAATGCTGTACAAGGCAGAAAATATTTAGAACTATCTTATACATTTACCTTTCCTTTATAATAACAATACTGGTTAGACATGGGATACACACTTTAAGGCATTCCACAAACTTCCCTTGAGGTAGTCTTTGGACTCTGTTCTAACCAACAGGATTTCTGAAGTAGCTATAGCCACAGCCAATACATCATGGTAATTAAGGAAGAACACAGAGACTCTGCTTTTCCCAACTTAGGGGTTGGTAGTGGCCGTGGCACTGAAGCACATATGCATGTGAATGAATATGAAAGAGACATAAACTCCTATTGACTTTAAACTGTTATTATTAAGGAGTCTTTTTCCTAATATTGTTTAGTTATTCAGACCTCATCACCAAAATATAATTTACTAAAAACGCAGTGAGTTGGTTATATGTGAAGAAACTAAGTAAGATATATTAGTTTTCCAAAGCTTTCCATTGAAAACTTTTATTAGCATAGAAACTCATAAGTTTTTGGATGCAAGGGTGCTTAATACATGAAAATTAATAATTATTTTAGGATGTTTATATTAAAATAATGCTTATTTTCTGAAAAATAGTTTTCACTATGCACAAACCTATTAATGTCCAAAAGAAAGCCATGTTTGTCAAAGTATTTCACTATGTTGTCATGTTTGTAGACTGCTTTGCTGGCCTCAACATCTGTTCCTGAAGAAGACACAAGGCTCTGAAGCAGATTTGTTAGGCTGAAGCTATATGGGGAAAGCTATGTACTCTAATCTTGAAATTTTTAGTTTATCCATAGAAAACTACATGACCTTGTTGGTGTGTGTCTCTGTTCGGTCTCCCATTTAGAATAAAGACCTACGGATTCCAACGCCTGAGCTTTCAGCTGAATCCCAGGGAGAAAATGGTCTCAGCTGGCATCCTCTTTTCTGTAGGAAATCGCATCCCTTCACAGAAGTACTACAAGGTGATGGACATACAAAGATACAGGTCTCTTGAACACTTTTAAGGGACATCCAAGGGAAGGAAGGCTCCCTGGAGAACGAGATCTTCCCTGTGACTACTGTATCATACTTGCTTTCTGTGTCTGTAGAGTACCTTCCTACCCTTCACCTACATAGTACAAAAGTAATTGCTAACACACTACCTGATTGTTAATTTTCATCTCATAAAACACTTACCTGGGAGCTTGAGCTGAATTGCTAATTAGGCAGAAAATAGAGCAGAAGCAAACTATCCTTGAAGCCAATCTCTAGACCCCCTAGAAAGGCTAGTGTCATGTATTTAAATAATGGTCTTAAAAATAGTATTTAGAATTCCAAATTGACTCATGAGTTACGACATATCTACTATTTACAGATTGAACAATTAGGTTATTAACATGTTAGTAAGTTGAGTTAGAGGAATAATATATTCTTCTGTAGTGAGCTGGATTGTCATGAATTCTGTAGCATTTAATAATTGAAGCAAATCTCAAATTCTGGAAAAAGTATCTCCCCAAATATTAGAATCTTAGGAGCTTTTATTTTTCGTTAGTTTTTTATAATGCTGGAAAAAGTACTTGAATTTTTGCAACAGATCTTGATTTGCTTGCTAGTTTTACACTTATACAACCATGGAAATGTCAGCTGAGTTCCTTAGGCTTCAGTCATAGACCTTTCAAACATTTGAATATGATCACTGTCTTAAACATTTGTTTTTCCTGTGTGAGCATGTGTATTTCTGTATTCTAATAGGCTCCCATGAAATCTCATGTAGGCCTTGACCTCCTGATCCTTCTGTCTCTGCCTCCCAAGTGCTGAGATTATAGGTGTACTCCATGCCCAACTTGAAACAGCTGAACTTTAATAGAAACAACATCCTAATTTTATTTAAATCCTAACAAGTGACACTAAGGGCAGATTTTCTTTAGGTGATTAGGACTGCATTCGTGCATTCAAAATGCTACCTCCACTATTTTGAACAACTGTAGAAATCTGAATTAGTGGAATCAGAACTAAGGAGAATAAATTACATTTTCTTAAATTAGAAACCTGACAACCCTAGTGTTCAAATTAAAAGGAGCATTGATAGGCTTTCTGCATCAAATTTTTAAATTGTTGAGGGTGAATGAAGGGTTATGTATCTTTTGAGTACAATGATATTCTGACCAAGTTCAGTTGAAATTGTACTCACTGTTGCCAGTAAAATATCTTGAAGAATTTTGTAAGAATATAAAAGTTAATTTATATTGTTGTGAACAATAACTCTAGAAGAAATACTCCTTTAGTGTAATTTGAGGTTTAAATGTAAAGGATATTCACATACTTTCATTCTGCAAAAGAGTAATTTAAATATTTATCTAACATTATTTACATGAAAATGCTGTGCTGTGGTTCACTTATGGTACTGCTCTGTGTCCCTCCAAGTGGACTTCTTTAGATACACATTTGGAAACAAATTATATTATGATTCAAAGTACAAAAAGAAATAAATACAGTGTAGAATGGAGGAGCTTGGAGACTGAAAAATGGCTGCAGGCTCAGTGGGAATGGAAGCAGTATGCTTAATTTCCACACACTGAGCTACAGAGCAGGCTTATTTAAATCTATTTTCCTGTATGAATTATGCATGGCTATCATTTGTGAGCTCCTTTCCTATATTTGAATATATATATTCAAATGTCAAATATATATATTTGACAATGTCAGAATATTTATTTAAATGTCAATGCTTGATAAACTGACAAGCAGGAACATCCCATTCATTGCTTCAAGTAACTGTTTTGTTTTCTTTTGTGTTTTTAATTTTCTGGAAATGCATTTGGGTTACCTTAGACCATTCAAAAAGAAGTGCCTGAGAAAGTTTGATGTCAGTCAGTTTTCACTTTAGGTGAATAACGAACTTGAGCTTGGGGCTCTGAAAACAATAACAAAGGGTTGAAGGTCTCCCTGCGGGGGGCCAGGAGGTTCCCTCACTTGCCTGGGCCAGCAGTTGAGCTCACACAGGTGTTTGCCTGCAGGAAAACTCCACTAATTAGGGAACAAACTAGACAGTGGAAACCAAACTGCAGGTATTTTCAAGTAAAACCCCGTTGAAGTGACAAATCTATGGAATGATTTGCACAATTTCAGTAACCAGGAGGTTTCAGCTCTTAATGAAAAATGCCCTGCCCATTTCTAGCCTGGAGAAGATATGGAAGTTAGAAGTAAATAGAGATGCTGTATACAGGTGCTGGATAAAAATACACAAAAAAGCAATGTTTAAATGTTGAAAATGAATACCTTTCCCCTGGCAATAAAGAAAAAGAGTCACGATTAAGTTCATGATGCTTGCTACTAGATGGGGAGCCAGGATTTTTCCAGAACTGAACAATGACAGCTTCACCTCTTGCCCTGCTATGGTTCCATCACCTAATGACAGAAATTCTTAGCAGAACAATCTCATTCATCATCTAAAGTATTTGTTTACCAAGTACACAGAATAGTTTCTGTACTGGGTTAAAGAGACAGAGTTCGACCCAGGAGAGCTTTGTCACCTGGACCAGGATAATGCCTTGGAAGCATTAGTTCTCCATTCTTGCTCTTTGTAGTGGGTTCCTATATATAGGGAACATCTCTGTTGGTCAGCACTAAAGACCATGTATTTAATACCACAATAAAGGGGTTTATCTGAAATTCTACGTACTCCTCGAGTAATGGTCATTTTTTCCTCAGTGTTTGAAATTCCAAATTTATAGAGAGGTAATGGAAGGGAGTTCCTATCAGCAATAAAGAAGAACTATATTGTAGAAAGCATTTATAAGTATAAAAATCGAAAGACCTGGACATACACACACACATACACAAGAACAATCTCAGGGATAGTCTTTTAAGTAAATTGGTACTTAGTGAGAACTAACTGCATAGTTTTTAATCAAATCTTCCCACCCATTAATGAAATGATTATCGCTAATACCTTGAGATAATGATTAATGAGTGCTTGGAAGAATGTGAGCTCCTGTCATATAAGTAGTATCAGTAACCACAGTCCTCACTAGTGAAGAGGTGAATCCCGAAGCAACAGAAACTAGACATGCTGATAGGCTTCAGGATAGGAAGAGAAGTTAAAGTGTTAAAGTTTAAAAAGAAGAATTGAGTGTGGCAAAGGCCATAGATGATATACCCAAAATGCATCATACCAAGTTTACAGTGCTGTGAGTTCCTGCCCTCTACATTTAGACTTTGCTACTTTTCCTGTTACTGTTACTGTGATTACGACAAAAGGAAGGAAGGGCTCATTTTGGTTTCCAGTGCCAGGCCCAGTCTGTCAAGGTGGAAGTTGAGGGAGCAGGCATTTGAAACATAGAGTCACATGGCATCCACAGTCAGAAGCAGATGGCAAGGGATGCCTTCCTAATTTTCAGATTGTGTGCTTTCTCCATTGGATAGCACTCCAGGTTTCCCTGGTGAGATCATCAGCCCTACCCACAGTAAATCTGAGTCTTCTCTCATCAGTAAACACAGTGAAAACAATCCCTCACAAGTATGCCCAAAGGCCTGTCTCATGGTGATTCAGAATGCTGTGAAGTTGAATCCTGGGGACTACTCTTTGCATCCTAGGGACTACTCTCATAGATTCTGACCCTGACATTGGCCTTCTCATAGTCAGACATCTTTCAGATTTATCCACTGCGCATCACTTCTACACTCTGGAGAGGGGAACTAGGCATTGAGTTGGGAATGTGGAAAAGAGAGGGGCAATTTCAGTGGGTGAAGATGACAGGGTAATAAGTGTGGGCAAGAAGAGAAATCACTGTGTTTCCATCGTTTTATAGGCTTCTTCATTTATTTCCTAGAGACTACTGCTAATCTGATTGTGCACTTTGTAGCTGTCTGTATCCTGTTTCAGATAAGAGTGCAGTTCATGTGTTTCCTTTCATTTCTGATCCAGATTTGGTTATCTCAAAAGTCTAAAGTTTTTTCATACAAATGAAACTTATTGATGGAAAGCACTAGTCCTCATGGATGCTTTATAATTATAGAGATAGCTCTTTTGTAAATTCACATGCATAGGGACATCAAGCAAGCATACCATATATATATATATGCCATATATATACATATATATATATATATACACAGAGTTTGCTTGTGTAATGTATTGCATCTGAAGTTTGTAGATTGCTAGATCTACAGTTAAGAAATACAAAGTGAAATGGTATTGGAATAAGTAGCCCGAAGAGACATTGGAAACGGTGTTTTAAAACCTATATAGTTCAAAAATCTGCACACTCATTTTGAAAAAGTTTCTAAGTCTAGCTGGGAAGTGGTGGTGGATGCCTTTAATTCCAGCACTCGGGAAGCAGAGACAGGTATGTGTGTTCGAGACCACCCTGGTCTACAAGAGCTGGTTCTAGGACAGGCTCCAAAGCTATACAGAGAAGCCCTATCTCTCCCACCAAAAAGAGTTCCTAAGTCTAAATTTCTTTAGAATTACCAAGAAAAGTGAGGTCACCACTAAATGAGCTTGGTGATTAGTCAAAGAAAGACAGAGTATATGGCACTGGTAGAAAAAGTATTGAGGGAAACAAAAGGATTAATTGGAGGTTTAGATCAAAAAACATTATATGCATGTATTATACTAAATAATTTTTTAAATTAGCATTGAAAAAGGATTATTTTATTAATTTAATACTTATTTAAGTGATGACATTGATTGTAGTTAATGCTTGTGCAATAAATTCCAAGCCTATCATGCTGATTGCTCCTTCTTTTAACTACACAAAATTCAGTAACAATAATATTCAGAGAAAGAGATACATTGTGTCAAAGACAAGAAGCATGGGACTCAGAGTCAAAAGTTTGTTCAATGGTTCCTTAGTGTCACCAGACACTCAGTTTTCCAACTTCCACCCCTAATTTGCTCCATACATGATGATCTCCACATCATGATTGTACAACCAAATGATAGGAAAGATTTCTTCCAATACTTGGGTTTCTTATTCACTGTGCAATGAACTTTCCATACATGTCTTGCTAGGCAAGAGGATACATCGTGATAATCCTCACTGACTCCATAATTTGGGTATTTAAGAATTACAACTCTGTCCCCCTAACTAAATACACTATTCTCTCACTAGGTAATGGAGATATGGCTAAGATGGAAACTAGTTGTGTTCACCAGTGTGGCCTTACCAAAGCTGCCTTACAGCAGTAGAAAATATTTCCTGATACTTCTGTCAAAAATGTTGTTATTGTTTCATCCATTTATTTGGATGATTCATCCATTTAGTACATAATTCTGCGAGATAGCAAATAAAGATAATTATTACATAACAAAATTAAAAAGAAACATGTTATACTAAATTTTGCCAAATCATTTGAATAACCTCTTGAACATCCAAAAGTTATTCATATATTTGTTCACTCATATATTACTCATTTAATTAATAGTAATTGGAAATTCAAGATGTATCATAAGCTGTAGTCAGCATTTTGGATACAGTTATAAGAGACTTCTGGTGATATCTTGCTTGAACAAATAATGCCTGTCTGGGGCGTTTCAGAGAATGGAGTGTGACACTAGCTAACCGTAGAGGTCTGGAGGTCTGTACAAACAGACAGGAAGTGAGGTAGCTGGGCAGAAAAAGGATATAAGCAGGGAGAAAGAGGAAATTTCTCTGTTGTCTGCTGATGTGCTAAGGACTTAAGGTGTGCTATTGCTTGCTCCTTCTCTCTGACCTCTCAGCATTTCCCTCTATATCTGACTCCATCTTCTTGTTATCTAGACCAATTAAAAACTTCATTTACAGAGACTCAGGTAGTTGTTTGGCACTATGGCTCATGAAATATAATAGATACAGATCCACATATAGGAGTCATAAAAGCAAGTATAAGGCCAGCAATATGTCTGGGCAGGTAAGGCTATTGCCACCAAGTTGGAGGATTGGAATTCAATGCCAGATCATGTCAAAAAGTACAAGATACAAATGCTGATCATAGAGGACATCATAGATATTATAGGTAAATGAGGCAAGCCATAGGGGTTTAAATGTCTATCTGCAAACTCAATTATTAACTCCCAGAATTTGGAGTTTTTAAGGTACCAAATCAGTATCCCATTTCCAGATACACCACCATTTTCTGCTTATCTAAATGCCAACAGAAAAAGGCAAATGTACAGAAACACTTTCAGAAAAAACTGTGGAAAAGAATATGGAAGAAAACAGTAAAATATAGGCATAGCTAGCTTGGATTAGGAAGAAGGGTACCATCAAAGAGGTGGGGATGTGTGATTTTTTTCTTTTAAACTAAACCAGAAGAATCTAATTAAAAAAATAACTCAGTCTGGCATTTCTAATGCAATCCTTCACACCATCTCTCAATCTAGGGTGGGGTTTTTGATAACTTTAAGCCTTAATGAAGTAAAACTGAGTTTGAATCTTGACTTTTCAATTATATGTTGTGTATTTTCAAGCTTTTGTATTTTTTGTCAATAGATAAGTTAGAGAAAAATGTCTTTCAAAATAACAAAATGTAGCACAATGTACAAAAAATAAAGAATTTTTTGTTTATTTTCAAAACAAGGTTTTGGCCTTGAACTTCCAATCTTGCTGCCCTCTCCTATGGAATTCTGAGATTTCCAGCATGTGCCCTCACATACGGTTTTTATGAACTGCTTAGGAATTAATTCCAACCCTCTTGGATGCAAGGCAAACACTTTTCAAACTAAGCTACTTACCCAGTCCAGAAAAGCAAATCTTTTAATATACCCATGTGTTTTGGGTAAGTAATTGAAGATAGTTTCATGCATATCTAGAGCTATGTCTTAGGAAATAGTGGTCAAAAGTTATGATGTATTTAGCCAAGACTAACTAGAACTCACCCTATTTTTCTATTTCTATCCTGGATACTGACAATATCTATGACATCATTTGATCCAAAGAAATGTACTTTTCGATGAGAGGAATAATAGAAAACACAGACCATAAATTCATTTCTCTTCATGATATACTGTTTAGGTATAAAAGGCACACCTGCCATGCTTTGACCAGTCGCTTATATATGCTCCACCAAGTAGAATGGCAGTTCCTGTCATGTATGCTTCATACATCTGAGTACAAGCCCTAGAATCTAGAATTTACTCCAAGCTTCATAAAAACTAAAAAATTATAACCAAATTTAAAACATGTAGAGCATATGACAGCTCTATATAGACAATGAATATGGATGCCACACAACAGATTTCTAACCATGAGGTCACAGCACTAGGTACCTGAGGAACCCTGCATGGAGAACAAAGGAAAGAGAAAGTAGTTAGAGAATTATCATATAGGCACAGATCCTAGAGTGTAACACTCTCCCTTTTCACACAGTTTACCTTGGTTATTTGGTACGTGTTCACACAATTGAGTCATTAACCAGAAATAGTTCTTAGTAAATAATAATAACAATAACAATTAATGTACTTGGAGTTTGTTTGCATTTTTTAAAAATTTTGATAATTTTGTACATGAGCACACATGTATCATAATTTGTTGTGATTACATCCACCTCTGTTACTATCTCTTATCCCATTCTCATGCCTAGTGGCCCGTTATACTTGCCAACTCATCCTTCTGCTCTTTGTTTTGTTTTGGTTAGTTGATTGCTTTCATACAGCTGGACAAAGGTGCTGTATATTCAACATTGTGATGGTCATCTCATATCTAGAAGAAAATTTGGTCTCTCCCAACACACAATTTTACAGCATTTCCAGTTACTTTCTGTACAGTGTTCTCTGGGCAGTGGAGAGAAAGATAGAGATGTTCCTTTTAGGGTTAAGTATACAACAGTCAGTTATTCTCAGCTTTTTGACTAGTTAGGAGTCTGTAAAACCTGCCATCTACTGAAAGAAGAATATTTTCTATCTAAGATGAACAGCCCTACACCACGGTATAATGATACCATATTAAAAGTATTTTAGCAGCATGTGCTTTTATCTTAGTTAGGCTTTCTATTGATGAGAAGAGACAAGACCACAACAACTCTTATAAAGGGAAACTCTTAATGAGGTGGCTTGCTTACAGTTTAGAGGTTTAGTTCATTATTGTCATGGAGGCAGCATGCAGGCAGACACAGTGTTGAAGAGGTAGCTGAGAGTTCTACACCTTGCACACTTGACAGGAAGTGAACTCTCTCATTGGATGTTGTTTGAGCATATATGATATCTCAAAGCACACCTCCACATGGACACATTTAATCAACAAGGCCATGACCAATCCAACAAAGCCATACCTCCCTTTTGGGGACCATTTTCTTTCAAACTACCATATGAATATAGGAAAAAAAGGCAAGTATGTCCTACCCCATAGTGAGAGCCTGTGATCCCCTAGCTTTATGTTTTGGGGTAATTAAAATACTTTTAATTGTAGTTGGAGACTTCCAATAGGAATTAAGATAGAGGGTCAATGGTTGCCCAGTCTTCTAGTTGTCACGCCACAAACATCTCAACGTAAAATGTATATGTAGCCAGGACACACACACACACACACACACACATACAAACACACACACACACACACACACACACACACACACACACACACACACGCACACACAAAGACCTAATCCCAGCACTTGGAAGGCAGTAACAGGAAAATCTTTGTGATTTCCTGCCTAGCCTGGTCTACATAGGGAGTTCCAATACAGCTGGGCCTATAAAGAGAAACCCTGTTTTGAGCCCCCCCTTAAAAAAATAGAATCAATCAATACTAAGTAAAGCTTACTTAATTTTTCTTAGACATAGTATTTATTAATTTTTAATTTTTAACCTTTATGTTTATTGTATATTTGGCTTATGTAATCTACCTGCATTTAAATTTGTGCACCACATGCATGCAATGCCCATTGAGGCATTGTAGTTACAGGCAGCTGGGAGCCACCATGTAGGTTCTCGGAATTGAACCTGGGTCCTCTGGAAGAGGAGCCAGTAATCTTAACTTCTAACCCATATTCCAACTCCAGCCCCCTTACATATAGATTTTAAGTCTACTCTGCTGCCATACTTATTTTATTTTCTTATGTTGGAGAAACACTGGTGTGTGTGTGTGTGTGTGTGTGTGTGTGTGTGTGCCTCAAGTGTACATGTTATGGGAAACTAGCAACATCAAAAACAGCAAGATTTTATGTGTAAATATCTGATACAAATCTATGTGAGCCTTAGCAATGTTGAAGTTTACTATCACAGAGCTGCCCACTTGTCTCCCTCAGGGGTTAACATGACTCACTCTCAACTTATTTGTCCTTGGGAATATTATTTTTCTTGATCCCTTTTTACTTTGACTCTCTTTGATCTACTTTAATGAATTTAATATCCTTGATTTTTTTTATCTGCAGATATCCATGGCATCTATTTGTACTGATATGGCTTGTTCCCGGTCTGCCTCTTTAATTTTTTTACAGCATCTGGAACAAAACAAGAGGTAGTAACATCTGAACTAGGAAGAAGAACTGGTGTTTCTATGAGAAATTATGCTTTATTTACCAAGTTCCAAGGCATAATTTTGGACTTTGGTGTTTTCTTGACTAATACTTAAAAACAAATAATTTAATTGTAATTTAATCTTCAATAAAAACTACAATTGTCTCCATGTCTTTCATGGACTAATGTGCTATTACATGTAGTGTCACATGAAATTTGTTTTGTGCATATAAAATAAACCAGTACTGACAACATAGTTTTGGTAAATAACTAGAAGATCTCAACTATCTACATGAAGAAGATACTATGCTTCCTTTATAAATGAGTTTGTTCAACTTGGAAAAGAAAATGTACCATATGTGTTTATCCACTGTTATGTATTCTTCCGAAATGAAGTTGATGTAACTACATAATTTGAAAAAAATTTTTGATGAATGTGCAACCATTTGGGAGATTGCTTTGCGGTCCATGGAGTGACCAACTCTCAGGTTGAGTCTTCAGGCACCCAACCTTCACAGAATCTTTACCAGCTGGATGTTTGGACAGGTTTTCTGCTCAGTTCATTAATGCTAGTGATCCATGGGTTTTCAAGGTTTGGATTAAGGAGTAATTTTTCAGTATCACATGAAGTTATTTAGATGTCTGGCAGAAAGAAATGGCAAACCACAAGTAAAACTTTTCTTGACTCTTGAGAGCAAAAGTAATGATTTCCACTTGACCCTACCAAGTAAAAATACAGATGATCCTGTATGAGTTGTAATTCCTCCAAGTACATTAACTCATTGAAATTGTCTGACCTTTGTATTTCTTCACTGTTTTCTATTAGATTAGCAGAAACTGTCTGTGTTTGTATGAGTGAACATGTGTGTGGAAAACAGAGGACGGCCCAGAGCTTTGAACTTTCTCATACAGTATCCAGTTTATATTTTAAGGCTGACTCACTCACTGACTTAGGCTCCCCAACAAAGCTAAGCTGGCTATCAGGCAAGCCTCAGGCTGCTACCTGTCTCCTCTTCCCCCTAGGATATTATAAGCATGCACATGCACTAGCTCCAGATCTTCATGTTTGATGTCAAGCACTTCAAGGTAACTGACCTATCTTCTCATCCTGGAAGTTGGGTTTTAAACTAATTCCAACTTAGGGTTCAGGATCTCATAACTGACTTTGCAGAGTAGGTGATCCAGGGGTGTCAACGATGAATCTTTGAGGGTACCATTGAAGCAGGTTAATGTTCTTAGTAATATTTCTGTTCTCATGGTTAACACATGGCTTTTCCAGTTAGCAGTCTCTTACATCTATAATCTGGATCCCTTAGACAAAAGAGACATGCCACATTTATGGTGGTAGGCCAGGAACAAAAAAATAGAAGTTATTTTCAGGCATCTTACAATTAAAAATTAACTTGTGGAAAGGATATTAAAGAGTCTTTATTTGGATGAAATATATTGTTTTATTTTACACTTAATTCTCCATGTATGTAAAAAGGTCATCACCCTCTGCATCCCTTTCTCCACATAAATGATCATCTATAAGTAAACAAAGAAGGCATTTTTTCAAGTTCATAAACTAGGCTTTCCATATCTTTAGACATCCATTAATGTCCCTTTCAATACTTCATCACAAATTAAGCAGCCTCCTTCCTTGTTTGCTGATGTGCATATTGAATTAGGAAACAACCTTTTACTAGATGCTAACACATACCAGCTCCTCATCCTAATGCAAGCCAGTCAGGGCTGAGATAATTAACAACACTCACAGATCCTACATAGACTAAGGTTGTTACGTATTCTTCTGCATGAAAATAATCTTAAATCCAGTTACTCCTTATTTGTCCATTTATTTGCATGCTTATCCATCCAGTAAGCATTTGCTACTTTCTTCTGACATTAAGATGATCCAAGTCTTCAGGAATGAAGTAAGGAATGAAGAAGGAAGAGAAATGGGAAGAATAGGAGAGGGAGGGTGATAATAGACAGAAGGAGGGAAAGAACACAGAAGAGAAATGAAAAGATGGAAAGGAGGAAAGGAAGTTGGGAAAGAAGGACGGATAGAGGGAGGGGGAGACAGTCAGGAAGGCAGGATCTTGGGAAAGCACATCATACTGTGGGGAAAGACAAAACGTGTTTGGTTTAGACAGAGAAACACTCAGTCAACAACATGATTCATGCTATGGGAAGGCAAAGTGAGACCATTTGGCTATGAGCTTTATCTGAGAACAGAGCGGTCTCTTGGAGGAAATGAATTTATAATGAATTGCAATTTAAAATGAGTGGCAGAATAAAGTAAAAATGTAGAAACCAAAAGGAATTATGTGAGTTAATAAAAAATATACTGGTTGAAACATGTGTAATAGCATTGCTAGGTTAGGAAGCTGAGAATGTAGGGTGTAAGTGATACAGGCATTTGGATAATAATCTCCCCTATGTGGTAAGTTACATTTCTTTTACAAGTCCAGTGGGCTTTCTCTCTGTCATTCTCTCTCTTTCTAAATTTAGTATCAAGTACATGTTATTTTTTGCAAAATTTTGCAAGATTTTTCTGATGCCAACAAGGTTTTATTTTATTTGCTTGTATTATTTGCCCTAAGCCTGGCTTATATTTTGAAATATAGTTTCATTGTTTAAGGGGGTGTGAGTATAGTACCTCACTCCACATTCATCAGTATATGAAAAAGACAACACGTTCTGTTTATAATAAATCCCATTTATAGTTTTTTAATCGAACCTTTAGAGAACATTGAGTGCATATGACCATCAAGAAGAGCAAATATGCACACTAGTACTTAAATTCAGTATCTGATGTTTATAAAGTGCAGAAATTATGAAACATATAATTCCATGTTTGCTCTGACAAATGTAACTGTAAGATTCAGGGGCATGGGATGTTAACTAACTAAACAATGAAAGATATTGTTTAAAGCATCTCTTTATGGAGAGAATAGAACATAAAGTAAGGAAGAAAACAGTGAAAGACTGAAGATTGTATAACCAGGAATGCCTATGAGAATGCTTGGTGTTAAGAAGATAAAGATTTGTTGAGAAAACTATAAAACTGTCTAAGCTTCTATTCATTGTGCAAGTGAGAAATTAAGAGCATCTTTCCCAACTTTCAAGGACCCTTAAACTGTAATGATGACATAGTTGTGAAGATGAGCATGTTGGGATGCTCCACAGTGCTGTTTAAACCTGAAGTGATTTGTTTTAGAGGAAAGGAATCACACAAAAAATCAATGCAACTATAGAGAATGTTTAGCATGAGTGTAAGAAGTGTAAACATGCCAGGTTGGTGCATTCATGGTGACAAGCTGAGCTCATAATTCCTAGAATACCGACAGTCAGACTGTAGACTCAAACCTGAGAGAAGCACTCTTGTGAGTGATTCTTCTGTTACCTTCCGTCAGCCCTCTGGTGACTGAGGGAAGAGATTCCACACTCTGGTTCCTCAGAGCCTTCACTAAGCCCACATCCCACTTTGCTCTTCTCTGACCTATCTGAAGGCCTGGGCTTGGCCATCCAGTTAGTAGCTACTCATTAAACCACTCTACTATCCCTTGCCTCTTTTACTCCCCATCTTTTCTTGATCAATAAGACAAAAAAAAATGTACTCTATCATCACTAGAAAAAGATTCTGCAAAATAAAATATATCACCTTACATGCAAAAAGATGCTGTTATTATAACACAAAAGGGGAGTGTATGTGGGTGAGTGATGGTTGAGGACAACTCCTTGTCCTTTCCTCAGTTCCATCCTGACATCTGTACCGTTTGTACCTGCTCTGTGTTGATATTGCCCTGGCTATTTTATCTGTCTCTTGATCTTTGAAGTTTCACCCATGAGAAGTTACTTTATCAGGTGAGCTTAAATTTCAAACCTCTACACCTGTTACAAAATCAAATTAAAGTAAAGATAATTTTGTTCTGGAAATGGAGTGTCATCTGTAATTGCAACACAGATAGGGGGAGAGGCACCCTAATTTTAAGCCCTTTGTTATGAATCCATATCTTCTCTGTAAAATCAGAATGTCAGTCTTGCGTTCCGAGAAACCAAATAAAAATAAATGTATCCTGCACTTAGACAGGATATGACACTGACTCAATAAGGCACTGGAGCGTGGAAAAAAAATCACTGTAAAGGAAAAAAAAAGAATGAAAGTAATATTGGCTAACATTTTCTTGTTATTAGTGTTCTTTTCAATATGAAACATTTTATGCCACCTTATGTTCATAAAATGTCTCATGAGCAGTAAAATTTAAAAGTACCCTGAATTAGAATCTCACAGTGTAATTTAAATGCTCCCTTTTAATTTGTTTATCATCAACCTTTCTCTCCCATGGATTATTTGCCTAAGTATTTAATTTGATGTTGATTGCCTTTTTTCTAAAGGAGATACATTAAATAAAAGCACATTGCTTTAGCTGCCTGTGCCTAGCTATGAAAGCACAGGCTGAGGTATCTCTCAGTAAATTCTATATTTTTATGTAGAACCCAATGCCACAATGTTACTTTATTTTATATTTATTATTGCTTTAAAAACAGACAAATTAATTTTGTCATTGTGTTGAATTTTCAATACTGCAAAATATTTTAGTTTGTAATTTTAGAGTGAAAGCAATTGTTTCCCTGTATGGTTTAGTATTTGTCTTCTTTTGTGGCTTCAATGTTCATAAATATGTCACTTGAACCTTTCCTGATATTTGTTCCTGGAAAAATTTGGAGGCATTAAGTTCACACAGATAAATAATAGAGTATTTGAAAGATCTTATAAAATAGTTTCAATTTATTAAAATAGTAGTTACATGAACTCATCTTCAATCTTTCAAGGCAATACAATGGCCATTCCCTAAATGGATATAGCAAATAGTACTTACTGTTTCAGAATTGGCCATCTTTACAGACACCCCACTTCTAAAAGCTTATATATTCGTTTTAGCAATGCCTTGAATTCCTAAGGCAAACAATAGGACATAAGTTTACAAATCACTTTCTGCTTTCTATCAAAGTTAGGTTTGAACATGTATTAAAATAATTTAGAAACGGGTAGTATTTATAACACCAGTAAACTCCGCACTGAATTTACAACTTCCCCAAATCTAACAAGTGTTTTTACAGATAACAAGAAAACCG